CACGAAAGGTGTTCTGCAAAGGGTATTAATATTACTATTACTGTTTAACATTTAAATAGTGTCAGCAGTGCCTGCATAATGAGCTCATTGTGAGTTTTTGATTCCGTATGCCTGCCTTACTTCGTGTGTTGTTTTTTTTGTGAGTGACAGTAACTGATACATCCCTAACAAGTACCCCCACCCCACCAGTTAGGAAAACAATGGCTGCTACTAAATAAGAAAATTTTTTGCTAACAGATACCTATGTGTTTTTTAGGAACATTAGACTTTCCCTTTTATCATTTGTCCACATAATCCAGTATTTTCTGCTTTTCAGAAGTGACCCAAATTGAATAGTGACCTGCCTCTCCTGTTTCTATGCACCTGGATGCATGCTGGTTTAAACCAGCCTCTGCCAACCTGGTGCCCTCCACGTATTATTATTTTTTACTAAAACCCCCAGCAGCTCAAGCCAGCAACACCAATGGCAAGGGATTATGGGAGCTGTGGTCCAAAACATCTGGACAGCCCCAGGTTGGAGAAAGCTGATTCAAAAATGCCTCACCATCAAGTTTGGCCCAGAGTCTCCACATTAATGAAGCAATTGCTTCCATGTGGAAGACCTACAGTTCCTCCGAGAAGAAAACAAGAAAGTGTTTCTCTGCTGATGGTAAAACAATAGGTTTACACTTCAAGTCTTCATGTACCTATCATTAGGTGACACAAATAGCAACAAAAATATTGTGCCAAAATAATAAATGACTTATTCACAAAATATTTCCCCCCTGAATGTGAAATCAGTGCTGAGGACACACTTCCATTTAAAGGCAGAATAGAAAGGAACCCACCCCAGATTTCGGAAGCCAGGTCCCATTTGCACTCTTTATGTGCTGAGATCTTGGTCAGTGGATGCTGGGGAAGCCATGTGTATTTCCTGAGGCCTTATTCTATTGAATAATGGTCAAAGGCCATTGGCTTTAAAACAGACAAGCAGGAGGGAGACAAACTGAAGCGGAACGTTAAAGTGATGGCTGGAAGTTGTGATCAAAACCTTAGGTCATGGACACCTGAGAGACAATTACCTTATCACAACACAGACACAAGTATTACTCCAGATGAGCTGCCATGACCTATTGCAAGAGCTGAGAAGGAGGAGGAGAGATGAAGGGAGAAGGAAAAGAAGAGCTGGTTAAAGAATACAGTGGTACCTCGGGTTAAGAACTTAATTCGTTCTCGAGGTCCGTTCTTAACCTGAAACTGTTCTTAACCTGAGGTACCACTTCAGCTAATGGGGCCTCCCGCTGCTGCCGTGCTGCCAACGGACAATTTCTGTTCTCATCCTGAAGCAAAGTTCTTAACCTGAGGTACTATTTTTGGGTTAGCGGAGTCTGTAACCTGAAGCGTCTGTAACCTGAGGTACCACTGTACATGGGGCTTTTCAGTGACGTAGATGCCATGCACCAGATTAGCCTGCCTGTTGTTCAGTGAGCTACCAAATGGAGCAACTGTATGCATATATTACTTCACTCCATTCAATCCATACTTTATTTTGACAGCAGGCATGGAAATTAGTCAAAGATTTTGCAGTCACAAAAAGATCCAGGCCCTAGTTAACGCTGCCAGTCTCTAGCTTCCGTCTGTCATATTTTGCTTATCTAACCTGTCTGTGTAGCAGTAAATTTAAATCCCACAAACATCCAGGTCTTGCAAAGAGTTGTTTGCAAACATGGGTTTCTGAAAAGGTACAAACTTCTCACCTTTTATTGATGATCTTGATCTTTGCTGCTTTTCTTCCTTCACTAGCATTGAAGTGGGGCTTTTATGTTGGGACTTGAGAGAGACCAAGCTGCTACAGATGGATTAGTTAGAAGATGAGTGAATGCCTGCCACAACCAGGGAGCTGGTGTGGTGTAGCAGATAAAGGGCTGGATTTAGACTGGAGAGATAGGGGTTTACATTCTCACAGATCTCAAAGCTCACTTGGTGGCTCAGCTTACTTCACAGAGTTGCTATGTGATGCCCTTAGCACCCTGGGAAAAGGCTTGATATAAATATGATGGTAGAAAGGGCAGATGTGGAACTATCTGGACTTTAGAAGCTGAGTTTGTCTGCCTTGCCCCTCCCACCTCTCAGCTTTTTGATTCGTTGAGAGCTGCTTGGGCCAGAACTGAAACAAAGGAATCACAGGGTCTTGTACAGCTGAGTCCATGACAAAAGCACAGGGAAGTTGATGCTCTGGCACCAAGACCTGTCAATTCAAAATCGTCTTGGTCCTGAGTCTATATGGGGTTGAATGCACTATGTTCTCAGAATCAGAGCGGTTTGGGTGGCATGACTGCCTGCTGTGGGTGGACAGGCCTTGAAATGGTTCTTTGTGCTTGTTTATTTGTTGCAATTGATGGGAGTGATTTTGTTTTGTTGCACACTGAAGTTGTGTGGTCATTATCTTGTAATGCTACATACAAATAAGATCCTTCCATTTTGTTGCTTAGAATTATAGTTTGAATTGCTGTAAGTTGGCAATGTGAATTTTATTGTCTTATTTTGTGATTCCTATGGCTTGTAATTTGCCTTGTACAGTAATGTAGAAAGGCGGTACACGAATATTTAAAAAATCATAGCATTTGTACACAAGTACCTTAAAAATTAAAAAAGCCAGCATGCATCACATTCTAAACTTATTGGCTGAGAGTGATAAGCTTACCCCCCGCTTTTTAATTAAAAATAAATTAGATTAGACATGCCTTCCAGTTTTCTTGGCTGTTTTAACAATGCCTCAGGTCTTACAAAAATGTTACATTTATGAAAAATTTAAAAACTGTTAATAAAATGAACTATATAAAAGAAAAAGAAAGTTTGTGAAAAGGTTTGTTATTCGACAGATAACTACTCCAATGCTGGGAGGGCAGCCCCTAGTCTAAGGCATTCAAAAAAGGTCACAAAATTCCATGAAGTTAGAGGGAGAGGAACTGAACGAGTCACGTTGCAAGATGGAACTTTCCACTATCTTTTTAAAGGCTGGGTGAAAAGAACTGTTATTTCTCAATGTACAGAATGGTCTGAAAAATTAAATTTAAAAAATGTAGCAGAATAATTTTGACAGAAGACAACTGGACTCCCTGCACAATTGAGGGTAACCTAATCATATATCTACAGGGATTGCCTGGAAAGGAGCTGCCAGCCACAGTGGCAGTGTGCCCTGTAAGGCATGGAAGGGAGTAGTCCAGTTTCCTTGCATGTGTATACAGCATTCACAGTTTCAAACCAGAGTGGGACTGCGCTTTTTGCTTCAGCTCCATATTGCTGCACTAGCTCTGCTTCCAACAATCATGCATTAATGGTAGCTGTCTGCAAGAGAAGCCCTGTGAGAGCAGCAGGAACCCCGCACGAACGAGGGCCCTGAACATAGGAAGCCCTAATGTACAACTTCTCATCTGTAAGGATTCTCTTGCAGAAACTGCACTCAATGCACAGTAGCTGGTGAACAGCCCCACTCCAGATGGATTATATGAGTGCCTTACATGTAAGCAATGCATGAACAGAGCTCATGCGTGCCACAAATCTGAACGGAACTTTAAGCTTCTTCTTTTTTACATTTTTATTTTGAACATTTATATTCTGCCTTTCTTTCTACATGAAGCTCAAGGTGACATACGTAGTGTTCTGAGGCAACCTCCCATCCTGATATTAACCTGCTTAGCTTCAGCAAAGTGGCTGCACCATGTGGCCTTGACCCAACTGCAGCCCTGCTCTATGAGGTCTTGATGAACAAGAAGACTCTTTTACTTTTCCACACTGAACTGCCTAAAGTTCACAACAGCCCAGAACTTTTACCCAGAACAGCTATTCCCATGATCATGGAGGCTACCACTTTCTGAACTGCAGAGAAATATAATAAACTCATAGACTGTCCAGCATAAGTATCAGAATAAATAGGAAATGTATATCATAGCTGATTTCATTTGTGGGATTACCAAAGTAGAAAAGAGGCATTTGTTTCTGTGAACCAGTATGAATGGAGGAGTGATAGAGCATATGATACATTTCAGCAAGATATTGGGCGTGTGCCTCCAAAAAAAAAAAAAAAAAGTTCACCATGAAATGCATTCTGTCAGCCATGCAAAAAACATACCTGAGTCAGTCCCCTCTGCAGGGTGTATTTCTGTGTGTATGTTTGCATATGCATGGAGAACGTTTGAAAGTGGTCTGATATTCCTGAGAAAGTGTCAGCAGAGTCTGGGTAATCAAATCAAGGCACAAACTGATGGTTACATGGTCCATGAAAGAATCTCCCTATCCCAATAAAACCAGGCATAATTCCAAAATATTTTTGCCTACTATAATCAGCACCAGGATTTCAGTCTTTTCTCCAATTCAAAATACCCGTCGTTTGTTCTCCACGTGGCATGAATGATGCTGTGAATACCTTTGTTTACTCTGCATCTAGGGCACTCCCACCACTGGTTGGGGAGCCAGGTGTAGCTTGCCACACATGCTATACCTGCTGAAATGCACAGGTATTGAAAGTGAGAAGAGGAGACCTGTCCTCTTTTGCATCTGACCACCTCATCTCCTTTCCATTCCATATTTGAGGTTCAGCAATAATCTACTTTTCTCTGCCATCCACCTGTTTCCCCCCTCCCCATTTCATACTTGCCCCTTTCCACTCCTTCATTTACTTGGTTTGGAGTCTCCCTACATATAGCTTCTGATCTGTTAATTACTGTTGTTGGAACAGAGCTACAGTCCCACGTTAATTGCTGGTGTTATGCCCCAAGCATTTAGCAGGGACTGGGGGCACCGTATAAACACCATTATTATTATCAACCAGCATTGTAATTAAACTCCTGCTTGACTCTCACCCCCCCAAAGCATGCTTCTTTGCATCCTGTGCCACAGTCTATTCCAGCCAGAGGGACCCTGAAGCTTTCAAACAGCTGGCTTGCCCAGAGGAAAAAAAGTATTTCTACCTGTTTCGTTTCCCTTTTCAGCATAGCCAATTGCACATGGTTATGACTTACCAGTTTGCGCTGACACCACTGGCAGATCCCACACAGGACAATGGTAACACTAAGGCTGATGGTGATGATGGCTGAGACCAGAAGGACATCACGAGAGGGTGCCCCTGAGAAGAGAAACCCACAGGTTAGCTGTACAAGTGCCTCCAATAAAAGGAAACAGGAAAAAGCTGACAGGATTATTAACAGTTTTGTGGGGCTATCAAGAGGCTTGCTGAGACTCAGGGGCCTTGTTGGGGGGTGACCCAAAGAGACTGAGCTCTGGTGGGTTGGGTTTTTTGTTTTTTTTTGCAGTTTCTGCTTTTCTTCCCCTTTTACAACCTCTTTTTGTTTTGCTTGCATGGCAGCTGGTATGATGCAAAGCACAGCGCTGGGATGACCTCAGTCATTTACCAGTTTAATTTGCTCAGAGGCCTACACTGTATTTGTACACATACATGAGCATATACAAATTTGGGTCACGGTTCTGTTCCCTGACTTTTAAGTACACAGCAGAGCTGAGGCTCTTGGTTTCCTTGGTACTGCACTTTCCCCTGGCTTGCCTTCCAGTCTTTTTCCCCCTGGCCTGGGAGGGTGGGGCCCTGATTGACTCCAGCTGCAAAAGGCTGAGGCTGCAAAAGAGGCCAGAGACCCTCTTGGCTGCCTCTTAGTGCAGGCCCAGGTCATCAAACCAGAGCATCCACAGCTGCCAGCTGCCACCATTGGCAGGATTGGCAGCAACAGAAGCAGATATGTTTGATGCTTATGATAATATTTTATTCTCTTGTTACTTATGCTGTTTTAAATGTGCATTTTATCTTTGACTTCCTTAAACAATGTTTTCTTCTGGAATGTCTAAGATAACATTTTTTGTTAATTTTGCTGCATTAAATGTGCATTCTTTAGTTGACCTCCTTTGTTGTGTTTTATTTTGAAATCTTTAAGATAATATTTTAGTTTCCTGTTGACCAGCAATGCTTTATTCTGCATTGTTTTATTTGATGTTTTAATGTGAGATTTTTTCCCTTAAAAATATAAAGTGGTATAGAAATGAAATGAACAACCACAATTCCTGCCTATTCTTCTACGCTTTTACCTTGGTTTCTCCCCTAATAAACCTAAACCATCCATGTCTTGGTTTGCCCCATAGTGAAAGGTGAAAGAAAGAGAGGGTCCAGTTCACCAAATCCTCCAACTCTAGAGAAAGTGTTGGGAAGAAAAGAAACAAGGACTATCAATTCTTGAAAGTTTCAATGGCAGGCTAGACCACAGGCAGACAGATCATACCAATACTTCCAGTTCTGCTGTCTCAGCTGGTAATAAAGGGATTCAGCAGCTGTCCCTAACTTTTACAGGGCAAGTCTTATTGCACAGCATCACAGAACCATAGAACATAATTAGTGTGCTTTATGATTTCATAACGCTCCAGCTGCATGACTCTCCATAGAACAATTATCACAGCACCAGAACGTTGCCTATTTTTTGAAATTATTCCAGCAATTGTTGAGAGCTATTCTCATCACAGCCAGACAAAATGAAGCAAACAAAAACAGATTGTAGTGAATTTAAATCTGTGGTTTATGATATGATAGGCATCTAAAATCACTGGTCATTTGGTTAGGAACATCTAATGCTTTTAATAATATAGGTTCTTTAGAGCTGAAGGGAACTGATTCTAATTCAGAAAAGAAGGACAACATCAACAGCAGAAACAAGTGTGAAGAGGACCTCAACAAGTGCTAGGAAACAGTGTGTCATAAGGAGATTCTGTAACACAAAATGTCTCAGCTTAAAACCCTTCTTCTGAGGCAATGTCGGTTTTTTTCCTATCACCTAGAGCAGTGGTTCTCCAAGGGTGTGTCAGAAGAAGATGGCAGATTCAAGGACAATCAAAGAAAGAGTTAAAATTTCACTGTAGTACAGGAGGTGACCATTTTTAGGTGTGTCTAATTGATGCATGGTCACTGATATGTGGGTCCTTTTGTACCTGGAAGAGGGCAGAATGGGGGCAGGGCAGGGTGGGGCAGAATGCAGTGGGCTAGGGTGACACTAGAAGTGGCCATTGCCTGTATAGTATAGTATCTTCCTATCTCTCTAAGCAGGATTTGCTTACCACATTTTCAAGTGAGTGAAGAAATGCACATTAACACCTAAAGAGGAGGTTGACCCATAAGACCATCAAGTTCTGAGTCTTAAATTACCTGGCTGTACCACTGGTGATGCTTTTGTGCTTTGATAGGGTTAGAAATCAATAAAAAAAAGGTGAACTGGTGAGATTGGCAGGTGACACACCACTTATTTAGTCAGCATTGTACTTTGTACAGTCCACTTGAAGTGCTTTAGGACATTCAGGGGATAAAGCAGCACAACTGACTATGAAAATCATCTGATAGAAATTCAAAGTAGTGGACACTGAAAGGAATGTTTTAAACCACTCAGACACAACTCTGTGTTCTAAATTAACAGTAACCTCTCTTGGAAAAAGGTGAAGCATTATCATGAAAAACCTAATGGTTTGGCTTTTTTTTTCTTAAGGCGCAGCTGGAGGTGAAAAGAAAAAGCAGAAGAGTAAACCAAGAGTAATAAAAATTGTTATAAATGTAATAACGTGGTTATATACATCAATGATACGGCTCACCTAGAGTTCTGTGTTCAGTTCTGATAATTCACTTAGTTATCTTGCACTGAGCAACAAAATAGTTAGATATCCGGGGCTGATAGTAAGAGTATCAAGGACTGGGGTTGAATGCTGTATCAAAGCTTGCCATGGAACTGAAAACACATACCTATTTCCACTATGAATACACTAAAGGGAAGCCACATACATTTTGGATCCACAGTCCACTTTTAAACAGCACTGTCCCAAAGGCCATACTGAACGGGTTCTGCCAGAGGAGGAGGTATCCTACACAAAACCTCAGACAGTTTCAACTCACCTAATAGTATTGAAACAATCAGAGCTGGCCCAGCCATTAGGCTGGATGAAGCCATTGCCTCAGGAGGCAGAAGCCTCTGCCTCTGGTATCAGCGCCAATTTCCAGTGAGATCTTGCGGAGCATGCAAGATCTGGCCGGAAACAGGCACTGATGTTGGCGGCACAGGCAGTGGCAGAGGGGGAAGGGTGCCACTTCCTGTTTCACCTCAAGTGGCAAGATAGGACATGCTACCCCTACAATATTTCCATTATGCTTCTCCCTTGCTAACCAAGGGATAACAGTAAGCTATGGGGAACAGGTTCCTTCAGTTCCACTTCTTATAAATACAAGTTTAGATAATTGTGCTTCTTTTTTTATATTCCAGAATCTATAAGACTCCCTGTCACAATAACTCGGAGTTATAACTCAATGTGACTCTTTCCCACTGCCATGATTTTAAAGCCAACCGGTACCCTGGAGACAGACTGAACTATTAACTGAGATTGTTTATTGAAGATATATTCCATACATAAGGGAATACTGATATTTACACTGAGATCCTAAATGTGCTTGATGACAGTTTGTAAGAACTCAAGAAATGCATCTGTTGACACCAGCGTCCAAAAGTCTTTTACCTCAGACCAAATTCCCCAAACCAACCCAGCCAAATTTGTTCAAAACTTGGTCCAGCTACTAGGTACAATCTGCCTCTGTCATCAAGGGAAGAATTCAATATCATGCTCTTCTGATTTTTCCATCAACACAAGGATTTCTGCTTGCCAGACAGAATGATTCCCCCCTCCCCTCATGTTCTGTTCTGGGGGTTCTCCCAATCTCCCAGAGTGGAATGGGGGAGGGGAGCCCCATCACGCCAGTGGGAACTCTTGCATTGGCTTGTGCTAGCACGCTAGGTTAAGTGAATCCTGCCCCAAAGCTCATCCAGTTGTACTTCTGACGACTAGGGCAGTTTAGCTGATTTTTTAAAAGCCTGCTTGTATAACCTTATTCTGGTAGATCTTTACACAGTTCAACAAAAAGCTCCCTTCTTCTGATCTTCACCAGCACAATTGCAGCAGCAGGAAATAATATTCAAGCCTTGGTTATCCATTTTCATCTCAAATTTCTCTGGCACTGCCTCACATCTCCCTCAAAATTTTCTTCATCAAATGACAGTTACCGGTAACTACTGCTTCTTCACCTTAGAACCCCAGCCAATCAGAACCTGATGTATCCCAGACTAATCAAAATTAATTTACCTGACCCAGGCCCTGTCTATAAATACTAAAAGTGATTGTCTCTCTTCATTCCCCACTCCACTCTCAGAACCTGTCACCGAGTAGCTACGGCTGAATTGGCCTCAAACAAAGCAACAATATAAGGCCTCTTTTCCAAAGCAGGAAACATAAATAGATAGACATACATGCAGCATTTCTCCACAGAGGTACACATTGCAATAGACAAATATTTGAAACTGCTCCAATTTCAAATATCAAATATGAATATTTGAAATGGGTGAATTCTAGTTTATGCTCTAGTCATATATGGATAAATTACAAATTGTCATCATTAAAAAAAATATGGAGTTCTTCCATTAGTTTCTTGTCCCAAGTCACTGTGCTAATCCAGTCAAATCTGCAAACGAGTCCACTACAGTTTTAAGAATGAAATAAACTTCAGCCCATGCTTCCTCCACCTCAAATTTGCTTTAAACATCCTACATCAGAACTACACCTTTCTGCTTACTAATACTGGTATGGGAAATAATGCCATAATTTGGGTGATTCCATGAATCCAAGCTTCTGTATGTTTCCAATATGATGTGAAGCAGAATTACATGGGAACCCATTTTTTCAATGTCTACCATGCTGTTGTGGTAACAAATGAATGGGCCCTCTAAGATGAAAGGGTAGGGCCATGGATGCATGCCCAGTTTGCCCATACGTAGGCTGAGTGTCTAAATATTATAGGGAAACTTTGAAGAGAAAGGAAACTAGGGTTGACATACTCAAAATCCAGACACAAAAGTTGGCAAAAAAGGGATATTTTGGAGCTATTTTTAAGGAAAATGGGGGGGGGGGATGACGACGACACTGCTGACATGGATTGCCATATATTATGACAATTTCCACCCGGACACTGTTTCCGACTGCTGTATTCTGGGTATGTCTGGGAAATTCTGGACATATGGGAACCCTAAAGGAAAGGAATGCAGA